ACTCATCATGCAATTGCCATGCCATGCAGGCCGCTGTGGCTGTGTCCGCTCTGCGCTGTTGGTGTGTCGCTGTGCCCGCTGAGCGCGTGTTGTCTGCTGTGCGTGTGTGTTCAGTCTGCTCGCTGAGCGCGTGTTGTCTGCTGTTGCTGTTTGCTGCTCTGCTGTGTAAAAAAAAAAAGTGCGCCCTGTAGTCACAAATCAAGTCCTGTACTCTAAAACCTAGTTTAAGCGAACACAACACACGCACGCACTTTTTTTCCTGCATCGGCCCCTATATTGCGCTGAGCCCTCTCAGGCAAGATTAGAAATCTCGCTTCGCTCGAATAAAAAAATAAGTCGGTCCGTACGGGTGTGTTTGGCCTAGACTAGAGGATATAGCCCCAGCAGTCTACCGATGGTCCAGCCATCTACTGGTGGACATGGCCGTTACTTTTTTGGATGGTGTTCGCTGGTGTTCGCTGCTGCGCATGCTTTGTATTGCTCGAGAAAAATGGCAGTTTTCTGATTTGGTTGTCAAGTGATGGCGCGGACACGCGTATTGGTATTTCCGCTTGTGGTGTGGTTTCTCCCGCGATGTATGTACGTACGTACTGGCTCTTTCTGCAAAAAGATGCGCAAGGCCTGCGGCATAGTCGAGTCTATAGACTTACTGATTGTAGACTATGTTGGAAGCTGTAGATTCGTACAAAACAATTTATCTCGCGAGTCAAGGCTCATCAGGATGTTCGTTTCAGGTACATCTGACACTGCTGCAACCCTCCTGCTGTCTGTACCGAATTTGGAATTGGTTCCAGGCCCGCAGGTTCCTGGTGGGCAAATAATGAGGAATTGAAGATGCATAGACTAGAGTGTAACAGAGAGCGTCAGAGATCGAGAGGCAGAGATCCTGTAGGCAGAGAGAGAGAGCGAGAGAGAGGAACCTGCGCCTCTATCACACGTTGTAACAATTTGGGCATCGGCTGCACGCCGTTGCGTGATGACGAGCGCGGCGGACGAAAACCCAGAGGTCGTCCTTCAATGTCGGCGAAACTTGGAGACTTCAATTTTCAAAAGTTGTTCATGTAGTCTAGTATATGTGATGGATCGACAACAACGTGCTGTTACTCTGGAACCCGTGGACTATATGCGTACGGACACAGCAGGCGCGCTTTCTCTGTCTGATCCCCGCTCGCTGTCGCCGATCGCAACCACGCCCATAGATCCCGCAATGTTTGGGGGACAACGAACCCCCACTAACTGCCTGCGGTAGTTACACATACATACATGTTGCAAATCGACATATTCGGCCTTGATATGCGAGAGAAAACACGTGCTGGTGTGAAATACTTCGTCGGACCTACTCTCCCTCCTCGAAATGTTTACTCGAGTACTTTTTTTGCGAATCAAACAGGTTCTATCCCGCCCAGGCTAGGAATGCTTAATGTCCTGACAGTACTCATTCTCTCGAACAACCAGCTGATGGGTGAGCCCAGAATCAAGAAGGAGAATAATGATGCTCATGCTCGTTTAATAGCGCGAGGTGATATCATGCGAGCGAGCGGTGCGTATTCATATTACAGTAGTACGATGTCGAGGTCGTTGGTCATGGAGCCCTTGGTACAAGAAGGTACTAGGGAAGTGTTTTCTGGTCACCGAGTTTCCGGAGTGAGTGGTAGGTATACCACCCAGCCACCAGGACATAAACAGGTGTACCAGGGGGACGTTTAGCGTTTTTCGCGGGATATTAATGATGACACCGAGTAGAGATTTTGAGAGTACAGGGAAAACAAGAGCAGTCATCCATCAGAGCAGGATCACAGCGCCGCTTCATGCTTCCATTGGTCATTTCCGCTTCGACGCGGTCATCTGTGGGACTTGAGAGTACTGGTGGAAGGTGAGGAAGGCGTGGTGTGGATAAAGGTATAGTCTAAACCATTGACAGTTCGTAGAACAGAATGAATGATAGTTGACGCTGCAGAAAGAAGGGTTGGCGCGACACACATCGCTGGTAGCCACAAGAGTCACGTGTCGAGCTTCAACACCCGGATGGTGAAGCTCACCCCGTCCCTAGCTACTGGTGGAGTGGATGACACACACACTTGACGCAACCTAGCGCAGTACCGAGCAGGTTTTGTGAGGATATCGGTCGGGATGTGTGAGAAGGAGGAGCATCGTATTTTCTCCAATCTCATTCACGTACTTACTGCTGCTCAACAACCAGAGGGCACTCACCATACCTTGGTGGTGCTTGCATTCTTCGTGGAACTATTATCAGCGTTCGCTATTATATACATATTTTGATCGGGTCCAAGGAGTACCGGAAAAATGATGTTTAGACCTAGACGCGGTTAAGCGAGGAGCACACCTGTTGTTTTCCCCAACGTGCAGGCCCTATTCCCCCGGAGCTCGGAAACCTTGGTGCCCTGAAAATCCTCTCCATGTGGAACAATCAGCTGGACGGTGAGATGAACATTCCTAACGATTAACCCTGGATGCCCGAGTTGGTCTTTCAAGAAATAGCTGCGCTACCCGCGATTGGGATTCTACCTTTTGGGGGGGGGGTCAGTCTTTTACTCTTGCCGATATGATACTTTTATTTAGTTGAGTGGTTTCCAAATCGAACTCCTGGCAGGTGAAAGCTGCGTCGATAGCTCAATGTGGAAAGATGTCCCAAGCATTGTTTTTTCTCGTTCTTCCGTCCGATGCGTGGGTGGGGTACTACAAGCAAGCTTCGAAGCACGCAAGACCTGGTTCATTGGTCGTCTGGCAGTGGAAACAACTATTCGAGTGGGCTTCGATGACAGCCTTAACCTTGCACAACCACCACAATTTCATTACGTATTGTCGTTCACGATTGATCGATTTCGTATCCATGCAGGTGCAATTCCTGGTGCTCTCGGCTCGCTGAAAAATCTGACGTGGCTCGACCTCTCCAACAATGAGCTTTGCGGTGAGCGCTGGAACAAATTATTATCGTTTTCTTGTTGTTGAATCACGCAAAGCGATGGGAATCCCACCGCAATCGATATCTTCTCGAGGTACAAACCACGGGCTCGCACTGCATTCTCATTCCGTTGCATCCGACAATATTTTCGGCTGGCGACTCACGTACTCCTCGACATTCACATGAACCTGCCGCAGGACCTATTCCACCGCAGCTGGGCAACCTGTGGTCTCTGAAGCACCTGAATCTTTCTTCGAACCCGCTGAGCGGTGAGCTCATCCTGCCCGTTTCGTAGCGTGTCGAACAGCAAACAGAGGCGTTGTTGATGGGTTACCCACATCATTTTCAGTCATTGAAACATGAACATCGAAGTCTTCAGAAGATGTGTTTAAGTTATGCTTCTCTTCTGACAAGTACCCAAGGGGTATGGCCAGCGCAAAGCTGACACCCTGTCCGGTTTTGAACATCGAAGTCTTCAGAAGATGTGTTTAAGCCATGCTTCTCCTCTGACAAGTACCCAAGGGGTATGGCCAGCGCAAAGCTGACACCCTGTCCGGTTTTGAACATCGAAGTCTTCAGAAGATGTGTTTAAGCCATGCTTCTCCTCTGACAAGTACCCAAGGGGTATGGCCAGCGCAAAGCTGACACCCTGTCCGGTTTTCATACAGGAGGCGAGATCCCGAAGCGGCTGGCGGAGCACCCGCGCTTCAAGAAGTTCATAGTAGGACGCGCTATGGACGGACCCCCACTTCCTCATATTAATGACACTGGCCACGCAGTCAAGATTTTGATCGTTCCTGTCGCCCTCGGATACCTGGACTTGACTTCAGACCTCTACACTCCTACTACAATTCAGGCCACTTATTTTGGTGTGTGCTTGTGGTTGATTTCGCCCTCGGTCCGGCAGTGATCGTGTCCGCCTTCTTCCTCCCAGAATTCACTTGCGGTCGTCGGTTCTTGGTAGCGACTCAGTTGAGCTTATTGCTGGAAGCCGTATTTTCTGCGGCGTCGCGTACGTACTCCCCTGTCTTAGCCCTTGTGCGCGTCATCGAACCGCTGTTCGAGTCAGTACCCCAGCTGCTGCTCCAGTTGTACGCGATGCTACTGCTTTGGAGCGAGACATCATTGTCGAATAGCGACTTGAATGGGCGCGTGATTTCCGTGTGCATCTCGACGGTAAGCCTGGCATATGCGGCTACCGACGTTTCCAGTGTCGAGAGACTGCTTAACACCCGTCTTTCGGGGGAAGGTGGCACAGAGAGGTCCAGAATGTGCCCAGATTGTCCTTTTATAACGGGACTGGTGTTTAGTCGGGTGCCGGAGAAAGGTGTTTCGAGACTAGCGGGGAGGATGGGTTGGGTGCACCCCCGCACTCATGTGTGGTTCTGCTTCTTGTACCATGTCCTCGAGATTGTCAGTCGCTTTGTGCCCCTGACAATGATCGCACTGGTGTTACGGAAGTGGTTCTTCTTGGTGTTACCCTACCTCTGGATCAGCCGGTGTCTCGTAGTTTGGGCTGCGGCCTATTGGGGGGAAGCTACGATGGGCTTTAGGTTTCGGGTGAGAATCGTGGCCATGCCGTTCATTGACTCCATCTTGGACGGGACGCGTGCGTTCGGAGCAGGACTCGTGCTGACCCTCGTGAAGTTCGTTGCTTGCATCGTGACATACCACCTGTTCAGCAGCGGCCACTTGCCGCCGCACGCGCGATGGACGCTCACCATCATAGCTATCTGCTGTATGGTGGGTAAGATGCGCTTGGCCCTGCTCGCCATACTCCCGCTCAAGGCGAATGAACATGGGTTCCAAAGCCAGGGCGCCGCAGCTGCCCAAGGGGACGATGATGTTCCCGGTGGTGGCACCGACGAACATTCGACAGGAACGAGGGTGATAGGATTAGACGGGCGTGCGGTCGACGTTGATGAGCTCGAAACGGCGGAGTGCGGAACCCCGGCTTGCTCAGAGGAGACGCCAAGCCAGCCCATCACGTCTGCCATGACGATTTCAGCTTCGGAGAGAGGAGATGTCAAGGTGTGGAGATTAGCAACTATTTATTGTAGCTTTCTTCTTGCGGTACCGATGTCTACCTGTACGTGCTTCGCCCCACAAAAGGGACAATACCGTGCCATCGATTATGGTTACGGATGCCTGGGCGGCACTCACGTTGGGAAACACCGTCATATAATATGTGTTGTTGGAGCAAGAGCAACTCTCGCTGTGTTGGCTTGGTTACGCTCCGTGCGATCAAGTGGTTCTGTTGCTGTTCCCGTGGCACCAGTACATGCCCAGAACAGTTTCGGTCGTTTGGGTCCAGCATCGTGGAGATTTGTTTTCCGAACAAACGTGCGAGACATCGCACGTCGTACCGCACAAGCAGCAAATCCATCGGCCGTGACACGCCCAGACCATACCATCACGCATCTTTCACTTTTATGGTACCCCCCTTTCTGTTTGGAGTACTTAGATCTGGGGACGAGGGCGAGGCACTACTTGTGGAAGACAATTTTTGGACAAATTACTTCTACTGGTCTTCACGAACCCCTTTCTTTGTTCGACTTTGAACAAGTAGCGTACTTTATGGCGACAATTTCACAGGTGGTGGCATCTCCGCCCGCCAGTATCCCCCCCGCCTCATCGGCACCAGCCTCTTCAACAGAGCAGCTTCCCAGTCATACCATGGCGAAAGCACCCATCGTGATAGCGGGTGCGGTGGGGGTCGCATTGGGCGCCGGTGGTGAAATTCGTGGTGTTGAGCGGCATCGCAACCAGGAGGGAGTCAGGCCGGAAGCAGGCTCAAGAGCTGCCCTACCCACCGGCCTAGACAGCGCCCGTAGCTCCCCCGGTGTCGTCAGACCCTCCCCTGACACCTCCATTTTCCTAGCCTCTCCGCGCGCCACTATGAGCCAGGTTGGTTGTGTATGTTGTTGTGTCGCATGTTGCTGTACATCTGTTCACCAATACCCGTTTGTTTTATTGTTGTTTCTTTGTTTCCATACAGCCATGGTGTACGTCAGCTTGCCGCCTACCAAATTCGCTGTACCGCCGTCCGCTATGATTTGTACCGTGGGGCATATATATGTAACCACTCAATCAATACTTGGGGCTTCGCACGCTCGCCTTTTGAGTTTTGGCTTTCGTTCTCCATTGCTGTTGAATGCAAGAAACGCACTCTAAGGTGTAGAAGGGTAAGAACTTAGCACTCAGGAACTAGCGCTCAACATCGTAGATGCCAAGCAGTATTTTGTGAACCCGGTAAAGAACCTCGTAAACTAAAGCCTATGTAAGCGGCCAATTGAACCCCGAAAGAGGGAAAAAGAATCCCAGCCCCGACCAAAACTAGAGGTTCCTAAGTTCGGTCGCTGTCTGTGTCCTGCCTCGCCCGTTGTACTCGCAGGGCGGTTTCTTTGCCCAACAGCAGCAGGAAGAGGGTCAGCAGGACCACCATAACCCGGACGCGGATACGGGGAGATTCCGGCTGGTTGGGGAGGGTGCTCACCCTCTTGCACATGCGGCCGAACACCTACCCCCAGATGATGCTGTCTTGGCGCACCAGGTGTGTGCCTTGAGCGTGTTTTTTGCTGTGATGCTTGATTCTAGATACTTCCGTCGCCCCTCGAGGCGTTTCTGCTCGGCAGTGATGGCGATCTCTCCCTAACACTCCATGGGCTTACTTACTTTAGGGTAGGGGGGAGTGAGAGAAGTGTTTTTGAAAGGGAAATTCGTGTTTGTTCCATGGGAAGATTTGGAAGTGTAGGAAGGGCAATAAAAACTAAGGGAACATACAAAGCCATGAGCGGGCCAGAACGTCGAGGATTCCGTGTTGATGGGGTTGGGACGCTGATTGATAAAAAATGTAGTGGAGAGGATTTGGGAAATTATCGACTTCGAAGTTGACCAGGTTACCGTATGCTCTTTCGTTCGGCGTACCCGGTGCCGACCTCGTCCCCCCCCCTCCCAAAACAGTTACTCCGTATCAAAGGATGACAATGCTGTCTTTAAGCGACTTACTAATTATTCACTGCGGTGGGTTCTTATTCGCAGGCGGCGGCCTATCCTTCCGCGAGCTCGATGTTACCCGCCGCATCAGCGATGCCCAACTCTCTGGGGACCGTCCAGCTTCGACATGGTTTCGTTCAACCATGTTCCGCTGCCGCGGCGGCGACAGGAGACCCTCAACCTCCGGGCAACATGTCTGCGACTCAGCAAGCCTGGCACGCTGCGGGTGTTATGGGCATGCCGTCCTATCCGCAGGGCATGCTTCCGCTTAGGGTAGGCGATGGGGCTGGCGTCTTCCAGCACATGGGATTTACGGGCGAAGGCTGGCCGGGATACCTGCTGGCACCGCAGTATTCCTCTCACGGGGTGATACAGGCGGGGTACACGTTGCCAGATTGGGCTCCTCCGTGGTACGGGGCGACGGATATGGATTCCTACGCAACAGGCCAGCCGTGGCTTTCCAGAATGCAACTCCACGCTACAGCACCAGCTGCGTCGATTGGCGAACAATTGGCCTGGAGGAGGGCGTATCACGAGGAATCGGCGTTGAGCGAGGACTACGGTTGGTGGGATGAAAAATATCTAACTGGTGTGACGACAACGCCAGCAGCAGACGGGTCGGGTGTGGTTCGGGAGTGGCAGGAGACGTGGGAATCGTAATTTGGTATCAAAGTTCCCGCTTCACACTCATCAAATTTTGTTGTAGTATGGATTGCTCGGCTTTTCCCGCTGAAGTTGTTTGGGTGAGAGGTGCAATCGACCGCCGTTGAGCCCTCCCAGTCCCCCCCCCCGCGGTGTTTGCCATCGGGGTTGGGTTTTCGTCGCTTGGCAACGACGTTGTAAAACAAGCCGCCCCCCCCGGTGTTTGCCATCGGGAGTGGGTTTTCGTCGCTTGGCAAAGACGTTGTAAAACAAGCCAATTCACTTCGTGAACTC